CAGCCATACAAAGTGATATACTTGAGCACTCAGAGAGGCAAACTTGCTCAACAGTTTTGCACACACTTCTCCACACTTTTCTCAACTGTAGTTCGTTCTGGAACTATGCCATCATATTCATTTACTATACTTCTGCCTTGTTGCCTACATATGTACATATGTATGCTTCCCTCCTGCCGGCCTACCTGGCTGCCTGCTCGCCTGCCATAGAACTGACTTTTTATCTGTTTATCTGCCGCACTTAAGTTTGTCAAAAGCAATTGTTTGACTTGGCTAGCGATGTAAACGTACGTATGTTTGTATGTACGTTGGTGTATCCATGTACTCTGTACATACAAATGTACGTATGTACCTATAAAAAAGTGGACGCATAGCAGCAAAGTGGACGAACTTCAACAGGAGCAAGAGAGCGTAAATGCAGAAAAAGAAAATGGGGCCCGACTTTTAAATACACTACCAATCTTCTTATTTAAACTGACAAAAACTAACTACTTGGATATTATAGTCTATCTGAACGAGAAGAAGGAAAGTAAAGCAATGAGATCCTCGAATGTAGATAGAGATTTTATGACTCGCCATTCTTGGAATTATTTTTTTGCGTGCCAGCTTTTTAAATATTCGATTTATATATATATATATTTTTTTAAAATCGTGATGGTCAAATAATCAAAAACGTAGCCAATAGAAAATATTTATAAAAAAGTTATTGCACGAATGAAGAAATAGGTAAGCACCTGTTATATTCTCTCAGAATCAAGCAGTCCTTCAAGGTTATGCCACTTATTTTAAGAAACAGATCCTGACTCTTTTTGCTGAATTTTCAAATATTTTAGCTTTAATCGCTTAAGCAATTATATATCAAGCGTTGTTTGAAGAGATTATGCCTGAATTGAGAGACGCTATTTATATAACTAGTCATGCACAATATATTTCTGGCTGTTACAAAGATCTGCATGATTTCATAAAACTCCTTTAGACTCCTCTTCTTTTTTTTGGGAGGGGGGGGGGGGGGGGGGGGGGGATCAGTGCTTTGGAAGGAAAAGAACGTCAAACGCAGCAGCATCGAGCACAGCTTTGATATTTGGTTAGAGCGGAAAGACTGGGACATGTGTGTGTGTGTGAGTGCGTGTGTGTTTTGTGTGTCGTTGGTTGAGAGCCAGTGCCGCTGCCTGCATTAGAAAATAAAAGGAAACGAATAGAAAGCAAACACTCTGCTGGAACACTTGGCGGCCACAGAGAACAGCAAAAGCAACAGCAACAACAACAGCATTTGACGCCATTTGTTTTACTTCGCTGGCCACAAATAACCATGCTGTGGTCATTTCCGTGCGCCATTTGTGCGGCTAAGCATTCTGCAGTTGTTGTTTCGTTGCTGCCATCGCTCCAGCAGCGCCGCAAGTAATTGTCGTTGGTCTTGTTGTTGCTGCTCCTGCTGCTGCTCCTGCTGCTGTTCTTGTTGTCTTTTTTCGCATTTCGGTTTTTAGCTTTGGCTTTTCAAGTGCACTCAACTGCTGGCTGAGAGGCTGTCGCCATCTGCTGGTCAGTTGTTTGTTTGTATCGTCGCCAAAGCCGGCCAGAAGGACGGGAATGTCATTGCAATGGTTCATGCAGCAACAAACGTTACTGCCGCTTCTGCTGCTATTACTGGCATTGTTGTTTCCACTACAGCTGCTGCTGCTGCTGCTGCTGCTGCTACTACTGCCCATGTGTGCATTGTTACGACATTGAGTTATGTTGTACATATGAGCCCCAAGGAAATGCAACTGCAGCAGCAGCAGCATCAGCATCAGCGGCAGATGAATGAGCAAGCATCGTAATGTCAGCCGCTAGCCTACTTTTGTGCTTAGTCACATGTATACGTCTGTGTGTGTGTGTAGTTGCGTCATTTAGTGTGCTTTAATGTACTGCCGTTTTACGCATTATATAGTATGTAGATTATCACAATTATGACCAAATTTGCACGTCCTCGTTCGGCTATAATGAGATGCTAGATTTCTAATACATAATTCCAACATTTTCAAACAATTCAGCAGAATGTTTGAGCATCATTGCCGCACGTTGAATGTACAAATACATACTATAAGCAACAAAGGGAAATGTTTCTGTCTTTTATAACAGACATTCTCACAAATGCAATATTAATTCAATTTAAAAATATTGCCTTATTACTTGATTAATTTATTATTTAGATGCCGAACACAAGCAAATGTAATTCCATATTAACTCATCTGTTTGCCTTAGCTTTTTAAAACTTAACCTATTAAAGCACAAATCACATTAAACAACAACAAAAGAGTGAAAAACATACTATCAATGTTTTATTTATAATCACATTTTATAATTGTTTCTTAAATGTTTTGCCTGGTTTTGGATACGAATAACAACAGTAATTTTTCAGAAACAATGCCAACAGTAACTACAGCCAGACTTATCACAAACTTCGCAGCTAACGAATTTTATAGTGTATTAGAACAAATTTAAATATTATTAAGACTTTTTATTTGATTCATTTATTTGAAATGGCGACAAAGATGTGCCATAAAACTGAGGTAGAAGAGATAAATTTTAATTATATTGCAGTGAACAGATACAATATGATGTTTTAAAAATAAATAACCCAAGCATTGCTATAATGTCTTGAAATGTTATATACTTGTATATTATCATATAACAAAATTATACACAGACAAAATATGCTGAACTATTTGCTTAAATTTGAAAATACTTATATGCATTGCGATATACTTGTAATGTTGTCGTTATCCTCGATTAGTAAAAGATCCCATATAATACTCCTAAGTACGTTACCTGAGTTTTAGCTTCTCTGCCAATATTCAACATAATAGACGTCAGCGCTCATTAGTTTCCACTATCCTTATTACCATCCCAATCCCCATGTTGGTCAGCATTTGCCACAGTTGTGGGCCTGCCATTGACGACTTTGTCGCTGAATTGCCAGCAAATGGTCCAATGACGGAGCAAAGCATGAGGTGTAAATGGAATGCTCCTTCTTCATTTCCCTTTATCTGGCTTTTTCAGGCATGGCCCACTCCGTGGCACTCGACAATTTGCACCTCGGTACTGACAGCTTCGTACTTTGCAGGGAGTCAGTTGGTTGGTTGCTTGGTCGCTTGGTTGGCGGGGCACCACAACAATCAAGTTGCATGATTACTAAGCAGCATAATGCCATTTATTGCCACGTCTAGGCAAAGCCAAGGCAGCCACTTGATGGTTTCGTTCTGGGACTTTGGACTGGGACCTGCTGAAGTTGCTTTGCTTTGCTTTGCTTGGAACGGCCCGACCCGGCCTGGCCCGTCCCGTCCCGTCCCGGCCCAAGTTTGCGGCGCTCATTCACATTCATGGCGATGCCATGCTGTTGCTTTTGTTGCACACAAGCGCACACGCATACTCGTACGGATACACACACACGCACACAATATGCTAAATGCTTGCGGCTCCTTGCAGCCAATGCAATCATAATTTTAACTACTTTAGTTTTATGCATTGCCATCGCGGGGCTACCAGGCTGGCACTTAGTTCTATTATCCCAGCCACGCTTTGAATTTTGTTCGCTTCTTCTCTGTCCTTCGGATTTTCCTTCATTTTTTCATTTTTGTTAATTTCGCCCCAACCACAATAAAAGGCAATGGCCATGCAGGCAAAGAAAAGAAGGGGAACAACTAGTGGAAAAATGGGAAAATGAAAATATAAATTTCCTTTGTGTGAGCTCCCGCAGTCGCCAGCCAACGAACCGTACACTGCGCAAAAATTACGCTAAACTAACACAAAACTAAATGCGAGCTAAGGCACAGCTTTCGATAGATGTAACGTCGATAAATGGCGCGCGATAACAGCGCCTCGTTTACACTCAATTGCCAGAAGAATGGTCAACGCAAAAAAAGGATTGCATTTTGTGTGGCGGTTGTGGCGGTGTGACTGGTTGGCAAATATTTTCACATTGCACAGTTATCTGCACTGCTATTCTATGGGTGTGTGCGCGCCCTAACTGCGGCAACAAAAAATTGCAATTCGTTTGCCTTATGTACGTTTTTGTGGCTTCATTAGCAGCGCATCGAGACTGTCGAGCACGAGCACGAGCCCGAGCATCGAGCGACGAACAACATCCAGCGTCCAACGGCCACTACCAACGACTTTAGCTTGATTAAGTCTGACCAGGCAAGGCAAAGACAAAGCAATCAAAGCCAGACAGACCAACAGACCTACAGACCAGCCGACCATGCGACTGCTGCCATACTTCAAACATATATAGATTTTAATTAATTTTCTATGGCACAGTATTTGGCGCATGCAATATACTGCGGCCTTAGAATTTTAATTAAAAAATTATAAAAGCGTGCAAAGCCCCTATGCAGCATGTGGCCCGCATAGCCTGACACGTCCAACGCAGATTTTGTCTCCGAGCCTAAATGCTTTACACTTACGTCCTTCGACGCAGTAGCTCGCATTAATTGCAACAATCGGTTTCGATTTTAAAAAATGTTATGCCATAAAAGGATCTCTAAGTCCTTGGCAACCACCTGAGTATCCAGTTTTTGCATTTCAAAACCATATGATTAAGACATACATCGTAATTATTGTATTCCTATTACTGCCATAACTGCAAAGTTCTTTATAAGTATGGCGTGGTGTGGTAATTGAATGTAATTTGTCATGTCCAAACAGATTTTAAATTAAGATAAAAGACATAAATCATACAGTTTCCTTAGGAAAGCTTTAGTTCTGTGGCTTAGCACTTATTTTAAATGGTTTAATCAGCCAATTTAATATCAAATAATAATTGAGTTTACATAAATCTTAGTAAAGTAAAAAGACCGCAGAAAACGAAGCCAAAAGAGTGATGAAGAAAGAAATGTCTAATAATATATTTTTCATGTTTTAAGAAAGTGGGTTTTTATGTAAATCCTTATCCTTTATTATCGAAATTACATTGAATCTGATTTTTAACATTGTTGTTCATTATTTTGATGACTTCGTTACAGTTCTGGACTGCCAGGTCAGCGATTGGGGCGCCTGGAGCGAATGCGATAAAAGCTGTGGTACCGGCATGATGACGCGAACCCGCCAGGTCCTGCAGCCGGCACAGAACGGTGGCAAGCATTGTCCATCGCTGTTGCAGAAACGAGGCTGCCAAGGTTATCACTGCCACGGACATCGCGATAAGAAGATTTTGCGCGGTGAGTAAAATGATCAACTAGTATGTATATATATTCGTTTTATAAGTATTTACAGCGCGGTATTACTCGTATGAACTATAAATTTGACGTCTGATATTTGTATATGTGAATAAGCCCAAGCAATTAAAAGTTAATTAATGAGAGAAAAAACAAAGAAAACTTGTATTGACACCAAATTGATCGCTTCCCTAATCCGGCATATTCCTATACCTATTATCCCTATATAGTAAAACCCCAACTCGATCCATTGGTCCATTATCCAGTCATACATATGTGTGGATACAGCGAAGAAGAAGAAAGCTCTATCGGCTCTTCTCGTCACGCAGATTGAAGTTCCTTTGTGGGGTTTGTCGCGCCCTTTCTAAGAGATTCACTTTTCTAGGAAGATAGGTTGGGAAATTTTACGAGTTAGCCCTATATCAGGTCTGTTCAAGATATGTGAGTAAGTTCATGCGTTTCAAAGCAGCTGTTGTTAGAAATACCTATTGTATTTTAAAATGATGATATTTTATGCTGCATGGACTGCCTAGAATACATATCTGTTAACACTTGGATACCTTCTGCATACTTGATGTTCTCTGCCTAAAGCAAATTTGAGCATAATCGAAGAACAGCGCGTTGATTTTTTGTTCAGAATTCGATTAGTGATCCATCGATGCTTTTTTATACGCGACACAAGTATTTATAAATTCCTGAATAGACCAATGTGCATCAGTTCATTGTTGTTTGTCCATATTTATTCAATGGTATTAGGCAACAAAATCTACATGGTATATGCAGAATATTTGGGGGCAATTAAAATCCAATTAGGCGAGAATGGTTTTTATTTTCAAAATTGCCAAAAGTAGACGAGTTCAAGCAGTGAAAAAATCGCTTTGATTTGGCCGTGTTATGACATTAATCAATTTTTGTTGTTTTTATTGTAAGGGAGTTTTTCGTGAGCATGCAGATTACGATTTTTAAGCGATTGGGCGGTCTGCCCGCCCAAATGATTGTCTGTTAAGCCCGCTGTCTGCCCTTGTAATCGCCTGTCTGCCCTGCCGAGTTGCCTGTTCGTCCTTGTGTGGATTTCACTCGACTGAGTTTAATGAAATGCGTTTTTAATTAAAAGTACAGGCGCAAACACAAACACACACAGACAGAAACAGAGACAGAGGCCCAGTTTGCTCGGCAGGTGTGCGGGCGGGCATTTAAATTTAATTTACCATTTGCGTGTGCGCTCCCGGAGTTAAAAATCATGAAATTGCGTGTTAATTAAATGCAGAAGACCCAAAAGAGCTATCAATAAATCGCAGGTTTGCACAGCAGGCGATCCACGGGCTCACTTAAGATTGCAAATATGGGAATTGACGACCTTTTAGGTAAAGCCTCAAGTGCATTGCAATGCCCTGGCACTCTCACGGTTCATCCTTTCGCTTAAATCTCACTCATCTAAGCACTTGAGACACTATTGTTGCCTACTTTCCACTACAAGTCCAGCCAGTCCAAACCAACAGCATGACACACTTTTTATTTCTATACCCTCTACTAAAGTGTCAAAGAGTGCTATCGTTTTGTTGTGTTGAATGTGGCACTTACTCGTTGGAACTGACGTGACAGACCCCATGACGATTGCCGAGTTCATCTGTTTATCAGGCTGAAAGTTTTAACGCTCAGTTAAGGTTTCTTTAAGGCTGCATAGGGCTTACAGAAGTCGGGCATGCACGACCGTGCAACTGGAGGTTTTTTGTTGGACTCGACAGTTTTCAAATGACTGAGAATGCAGTGCAGGAAAAAGCTTTCACCTAACTGCGAACGCTTAGCGCAAACAAAGTGATGATGAGGGGGAGGCACGGAAGCGAGCAAGGAAGACATGACTGATGCCACCAGCCAAGCACTTGTGATTGTTGGCAAAACTTTGCGCCAAGATTCGTCCTTCTTGTATTCATTCCTTGAGTCTGTGTGTGCTGGTCTGAGTCTGGGAACTTGTTTATGCTGGCGGCCAAAATAGAGCAGCATTCCACAGCTTCTGACATGCTCGTGCAAAATGCACGCTTAACTTTGTCATAACCTGATAACATTCTTGGGTTATTGCTATAAAAACTAATGTTTGTAAACGTTGTAAAATAAATTTTAAACAAGGTTGTTTTTTAGAGCGTTTTTCATATACAAACTATTACAAAAATAATGATGATATAATTGGTTTAACCAGAAAAATAATGTAACGCTAAAAGAATGTGATTTTTGAACAAACAAATCTTAAGTGAAGCATTTTTCTGCAAAGAAGTTCGATTTAATTCTCAATTATGTTCAGTCTGTTGTGAAAGCGAGGCGACAACACAAAATATGCCGAGTAACTTGTCGATAAACTGATCTGGTTGATCCTATAAATTAGTTATTAAAAAGCATTAATACAATTAATAGATTTCGCACAGCTTCTGAGCAATAATTAAATGACTTCATTTCGGAAACATATTGATTGTTATAAAGGAAATGGCTTCTGTTAAGCTACTGCTTTTCTCCTCCTGTTCTTGTCTGTCGCTGTCTGAATTACAGGATACATGACGCTTGCTGTTCAGACACAAGGAAGCTCTACATTGTCATCCTTACAAACTTCAGCGACAGGACTAGGAAACTGCATAAGAAAAGCTAAAATGTAAAAAATAAAAATAAAAAACTTAAAAACATCCCGCCAGCCATGCACAGACAAAGCAATTTTATGCGCAAGTGCCTGACATAAAAGCCATATTAAATTTGGCTAAGTGTCGCCGCTGGCGACATAAGCGCACAGCAGCATTCACACCCACATACACACACACAGAGACACACATACGTCATAGTACAATTACATACAAACGCTTAGCTAGAGAAGCGACAAGGACGAGAAACTATTAAAATATTGCTTCGAAAGTTGTGTGTTTATGTTTTGGGCTTGGTGGCCAGACTCGGAACTCTTTCATGCGCTTCATTGGCCACCAACCACACGTGTTCCACACCAATTGTTGGTCAGTTTGTCCTTCTACCCATCTACCCATCTACCCATCTGTCCGTTTGTCCTTTTGTCAGCTTACTTGTATGCCATAGTTCACACTTTGACTTTGTTTGTTGATGCGCTTTAAGGTTTTAATTAAAACTTTGATTGCATCCATTCAAATATTTGATTGCGTACACATTTGTTGTTGCTGCTGGCCCATTGTTGTTGTCTGAATGCAAGATAATGAATTAAAGCCAATGCAACGATTACTTGGAGAGGCAAATGGCACCCCTTTCATATTTGAGGAAATTAAATTGCAGAAAAGTGTGCCAACAAGCGAGTGCTAATAAAAACATTTACACAGACGAGTGTGTGTTTATTTAACGCTCATAATACGTTTAAGCTGTTTATTATTTTTAGTGCACGCACACACTCACAAACGCCATCTTGTGTGCGTGTGTGTGTGTGCGTCTGCGTTTATTTATCTTAAAAATCGCTCATAGCTACTGCAGACCAGCTGCCAGAGCGAACTTTCCAGCAATTACGGCGCATTGAAACGTCGATTACAAGAAAGAGAGAGATAGAGGGAGAGAGAGAGAGGGAGAGAGAGAGAGAGGGAGAGAGAGAGGATGAAAAGAGCGAGGTAGCTGAGTAACCAGCTGCAACAATCAAATAGCAATAGCAGTAGCAACAGTTGCCCAAACACAAGCAACATGGCCTGGAAATCCGCCATTTAAGCGCCTGGCAAAACTAACAATGCAACAAGAGCAACAACAACAACAACAATAACAGCAACAACAAGCCCTACGACGAGTACAGCAGCAACAATGAAGGAAAAGGCAAAGTAAAATGGAGCAAAGTACAAGTAAAACAGAGTGCGCAGCCTAGCGAAAACTGAAAGAACAACAGCAGCAAAGTCGAATCAAAGCAAAGCGTACGAAACAAAATTAATAAAAAGTTGAACGGGGCCTCCAAGTGGTGAAGTGTCTGGTGGCGTGGAAAGGGGAAAGGGGAAGAGGCCATGGGACGGAGGAGGCAGTACGACAGCAAAAGTAGCAGCAAATTAAAAGCAGGAGGCTGTATAAACAGACAACATATGGAAGAAACGCTCTCAGACAATAGTCAGCCAAGTGCACCCTGGCTGTCAACGATGGATGCTAATGTCAATAGCTGCATAGCTGTAGGCGTCGTGGCCGGCAACAAGTATGCAAAAGGTTGCTTGCCATACGAGCACGAGCACGAGGCTGGACCATCAAGCAAGGGAGGCTGAGGCGCCCGCTCATAGACCATTGAAAGTTGTGTTTAGTGGGCGGACAGTGGACGGGTGGGCGGGTGTGCGGGTCAGGTGCAATCAACATATGCCATTTGTGTTAATTACAAGGACCATAAATTAAATTCTGCAAGCAGGGACTGTCCATCCAGCTTCATAACAATCACAATTTCTGTGCGTGTAGGAGAGAGGCAGGGAGAAAGCTGGGGAGATGTGACATGAAAGAGAACGATGACGGGCTACGAACCTAAAACACAGGCAAATGATAGCTGGCAGTGAAGATTGCAACGCCTTTAAGTATGCTATTAAAAATTTTGTAATGCCAAGTTAATTGCTAACAAACAAGCTGAATAAGTGTGCCTGAGTGTGCAAGTGTGTGTGGGTAGGCAAATGTGTGCCAGTGTGTGTGTGAGTGCGTGAACATTTTGGCATGTTTGTGATTGTGCAAAACATAAGTAATAATTAAAGTAAACAAACGCAGATATGCCAGCCATGCGTGTGTTTGTGAGAATTGCTCTTGTACGAGTAGCTGTGGATGGGTTGGGTTAGGATGGGTGCGGCATTGGGCGTGCGGCTGTTGCTGTTGCTGTTACTGTTGATGAGAGTAGCACTAAAGTGCCAAGTCACTTGCTGAATTATGTTACAGCTAGAAAGCAGAAAGCAGTTACACTGAACTATATACTTATTTTGTAGTAAAATATAAATGCTAAATAGATAATTGATACATGAAAATATAATAGATGAAAAAACACCTTCGCCGAGAGAATGAAAAAGGAATGATAGCTCATTTGCAATAAATAAAATCAGTGGGGTGTAAACGAAGCTCTTTGGAATCACTTGAGAAATCCTAAGAAAGTCGAATGAAATATCGTATACGTAATATTTCATCGGTATTATTGACGCTATTAGTATATTTTATATATGCTTATGATGGCTCTAGGTCATGGATTACCAACTAGATCAACATACAGCACTACATATTTACTAGCTATACAGGCATAATGCTCACTGTTTTGTTGTACTGTAATATTTCGATTGTTTATTGTCATTTAATTACAGCACCATTTAATCCATTATTTGTTGCCAACAAGGTGTGTCTGAATTAAATTGTTGCGCTGTTGCCCCCCACATAGTTTATATATAATTGTCTACTGTTGTTCAAAATTTTATCCAATTCGGTCAATTCTGAGAAAAGTTATTAGCGAAACAAATTCTCTACAGTACAACCCCCACAAACTGCAGCAACAAGTTCGCTCTTCTTCTTCCTCTTTTTGCTGCTGCTATGGGCGCATATAACTCAGTGACGGAAGTTTACCTGGGTACAGGGTATTACACTGTCGGGCTTGCTCGACTGTAGCGTTCTCTCTTGTTTATTATTTATTTTATTTCATTTAATTATTAATCATTTATACTTTATATAAATCTATTGGCAAGATCAGCAGGGTGTGACCTCTTCAGCCTCCTTCTCACTCTTCTTCTTCATTTTCTTCGCCGTTTCAGCAAGAGCCTTGCTAATATATTTGCGTGGATTCGCAGACGCTCCATGTATTCAGCAGACAGGCGCTTCTTAAAGTAAAGTTTCTGAGATAACCAGAAGTTGTTCACAATGAATTTCAGTAGATTAATAATCAGTCAGCATTTTCAGTTCATTCTCACTGTACTGTTGATTTTGTGGCAAATCCGTTCCATTACCATCCCTAAGTAAAGGTCTCGATGCAAACTCGAACCAAAAACGAGGGCTCAATTGTGGAAAGCTGCGTACCCACAGAGCTCACTTGCAGAAAAATAAAAGATTTGTTGAGCACCCAGTAGAGCTGCCAGTGTTTTCTTAAATTGTTGTGGCCTTCAAGTGATCTGCTTGCACAATTTAATGCCACGATATTGGACTTTTGCCTGCCTTAGAACTGTTCTAATTAGCCAGCTAGCTGAACGCGAAGCAACTGTTTTTGCATTTGCATGGCTTAGCTTCAGCTTCAGCTTCATATTCAATCTGATTGTCTGTAAAGGTATCCCTATCTGCCGTTTGTGGCCTTGTACGCGCAACTTTACATGCGACGCCATAAGTGCCTTGTGGAGCTGCCCGTGTTTGGGCTCGGATTGAGCATGTCGGTCGTGTAAGTGGAGCCGTAACTAGTATATGGCGAAACACGCACTTTTATGCTACTCCAGTAGCCATAATCAGCTTCACTGTGGCCTGCACTTTTCTCTGGAACTGTCTCCCGTCTCAGATGCTTCTCCAACGAGAAGCAACATTTTAATTTAAAGAAGAAATACGTGTCTCGAAATTTTCGAAACTCGAATTGGTGGTGGGGCAGCTTATCAGTAAGGCCCACAGGTCCTGTTAGCTGCGTCACGCTGATTAGCCTGGTAAGCCAGTACCACTGAGGATCATTTTCCAGCATGACAAGACACATCCTTAAGATAAGATTTCATAGCGCTACACAATCTGTCGACGAAAAATTCGACTTCTCGTTCTTCCTTGTAAAAGAGCGAGACTGAAAACTTTCGCTTGCAGTGTATTAATGGTACATTCACACATGTGCTCACAATTTTAGCGGCAACTGTCGTCAGGCCACAATAATGCGCCGTGCTCATTAACGTTATAAAAATAATTGCTGCACACACACACCCACACACAAATGCGACGGCAATGTGCTAAATTCCAATTAACTTGCACATGTCGCCGTGTGTGTGCGTATGTGTGGGCGAGAGAGTGTGCGAGTTAGTGGCAGCTTGTAACATATTTGGGGGCTAAGTGGGTAATCGTCAAAAATGTTGTCGGATGCAAGAAAGCGAAGCGCTTAGCGCACAACAGCAACAATATTAACAATAACAACAACAACAACGACAATAGCAATAGCAACAATACAATGTGGCATTTGCATAATGGTTTGGTTGGGTGTGTGTGTGTGTGTGTGTGTGTGTGTGTGTGTGTGTGTGTGTGTGTGTGTGGGTGGGTGGGTGTGTGTGTGTACATACTCCACGTGCGCCTTATTTAGCTCGTTAAATTTGCATAATTTATGGACCCAAAATTATGCAGCACATATGCGTCCCCGTTTCCCAAAGACTCAGAGACTCAGAGACCCTTAGAATAATTGTCAACCATTTAAGTTCGAACAGAGGACCATTATTTTTATGATTCCAAACTTTCATTCCATTTACAATCGAAACTATGATAAACCGCCAATGCTCTACTGATTTGAAGAACGACATGAAACTGGCATGACCCACAGCGCTAGCCAATTGCACCTGTTTGGTTTCGTTTGGTTCGCTCCGTTATCTTCGTCGCCCCGCTCCTCTCCTGGTTGCCTCCCACTCCACTTCTCCACCTAGTGTCCTATTTTTGTTAATGTGTATCTATGCTTCTTCTGATGTTCGCCGCTCCCAATTACTCTCCTTCATTCCCTTTCTCTCGTCCACTCTCCCTCCGTACATCAGTCTTCGTCTAAGTCTCCCATTCCTTGTCCATGGCATGTCGTCGAGTCCAGGCACGCGCGATATTGTCGTAACTCGCGCGATCGTTCATATAGACACTGGCCGCTTCGGCATTGAAGGCAGTATTCGGATCTGCATCATTCAGCATCGATGATAGCGAGAGTAGCAATTTGTCAATGGTTAAGCCGGGTGACCAGCAAGCACGTTCGTTCAATACATCCACGCATATATAACCAAGACCGTTGACGTTGCAATGATAAAGGGGTGTGGTGAAGCGCACAATAGGCGGCTCAAAGGGATAGGCTTCGGGAAAAGTCAATGAAATCTCAAAAACGCCATTCTCGTATGGCGAACCTTCAGGGCCACGTATCTTGGCACGCCACTTAAGCAGATTGTTCATCGACTTGGGACGTGCCCAGGTGTTCTCTGGGGGATCTGTTTCCATCAGATGCAACTCCTTGATCAAGCGGCGTACAGCCGGGATTGCATTTTTGCCAGCAGCTGCTAGCCGGCCGCCAGGTTCATCATCGTCCTCCATTTTGAAATTCTTCCACATGGCGTAGCTGCCATCGTTGGTGCTGGAACCGTTACTGCCGCCAGCATTGCTATTAATACTGCCGCTGTTCTGATTAGGAAAAAGCCGCATGTGAAGGAGTCGATTCTCATTCTCTCGACGTTGTCTTTCCTCCCTACGACCTGCCGCATGTGGGCCTCCGCGTTGGTTACCGCCCTCATGGTTAGGATTGATACGCAAGTTCGGCTCATGGATTTCAAGCAACTGCACTGCAGGAGCACGCAATGGGATGCCATCATCATCAAGATCTAGGGCTGGCGCCATACGGAAGACGCCATCGCCGCGGTCGGCCAGGTCAACGAATGGTAGATCGCCCAACATGGCAAACGGTTGAAGGCCAACGGGCTTACTTTTTTTGCGTACGCCTTTCCACTCACTCTTCCTAATAGCTATTCTATTGATCTAAAAGAATTTCCAATTCAACGTTCTCAAACGCACTTGCGTCCCTTACTTACCCTATCTTAGGCGTTCCTTTCGGCTTCTCTATTTATCCGTCGCTGCGCTCTTTGAACGCCGGGAAAAGGCGGTAAAGGCGTCACTTGATTCTCTGCACTGCAGTCACGCGTCGTGTTGTAGAAAATTTTGTCTCTCGCGGCAAAAAGGTCCGTATGATAAACTATTTTCACTAAAATATGATTTTTTATTTTTTTCTGCTACACGAATTTAGAATGCGTCCTCTATTTTATTTTCCCAACCTACATAATTTAAAGTGTTGTGCGTGACTGACAAATGTGAAAACAGCCTCCCACGATAGTTTGATGTTTTTAGCTGTTTCCTCAGCAAGAAAGACTACTAGATTAAAAAGAAAAGGTGAAAACAATTGATTAGTAAAATTGTTGTTGTATTAAAATGTTTCAATACCACAAATTCCTAATGATTGAACAATGCCCAAATTCTTACAATAAGTCAGGATTAATAGGGAATTTTACTTTTCAATAATGTAAGAAGTCGACGGACACAACTGGCCCATTCATCTCATATTACCTCTCTTTCTCCCTTTCCCACTCTCTCTCTCTCTCTCTCCCCCTCCCTCCCTCTCTCCTTTCTCTCTCATCACTCGCTGCTTTAATAAAACGAAAACGCATATTGTACAAATTAAAGGCCTTCTTTTGGGCGCTTGAGCACGCAGACTATGCTGGTGCGGTAATCTAAACAGGTTGACACAAACATTACCAAAACAGAACCTTGAATATATTGCGTAAACAGACGAAACTCAACCATACCCACACACTCCGACAGTGCGATACACATATTGTCTTACAAATATGCCAGCCAGTACGTGTGGCACGCAATCGGAGCATATTCGAGTAGGTAGAGTTCATTGTGTAGGTGCTGGTGGGAATTTGCACGTGAAGCGACTATGCAACACTTGACTAGACGGTTCAGGAGCGCAGTGACAAGGATTTGAGCTGCGAAGGGATTGTTATTTTTTCATTTTGATGCCCCTGACTGGGCGCCAATATTGTTTTGTTCTTTGTGGCACATCAGCAACATCAGTTTCAATAAGCAATGCTCAGTCGTGTCAATATCGTCACAAATTGCCAACTCTGCAAGTCATTATAGCTATTTTTAGCGCCCCAAATTGGGCGCGCATTCGGCCTGTGTTTGCTGTGCCATCATCATGTTTGTTGTCTTTGCCTAATGGCATGATTTGATTTCACGTTAGTCGCGTACGACTACGGCGGGCAACAACAACAACAATTTCAGCGGCGAACGGAAAACACGAAAAAATGGAATGCAAACAAAAAAACAAAGCAAAACGTGGCATAACCTCAGGCGCGTAAGCACGCGCACTTCCGCCAACACAGCCACACACGCATAACCACAGACTCGGCCACATATACACGCATAGTCATACTGGAGTACTCGCAACTCGCTCCTGGGGGGAGGGGAGGCGCGCATGAAATTACAAACCGCATACTCGTTTGCCCCAACCTTAAGCATTCCATCCCCGTCTCCGTCGCTGCTACTTGTATGCTCTTCTGTGCTTCCCACATTTGTCACACCGCTTCACTCCTTGCCCGACACTTTGTCAGCCGGCTCGTCGACTTGTTCAAGACACTTTTTACCTCACACGTGACGCACGGCGTCGCCTTCGTTGCCACTGCCAACCCAGTCTAAGCATTTTCGCATGCCTTGCAAATTGATTTTTATACTTTTCTTCCCATAGATATCGCGTCTGGTTCCTTTGGTTCACTAATATGTACGTCCTGCTTTTTGTTCTCTTCTATTTATCTTACAGAAATGGCTCTCCTGTTGCCTGCAGCCTTATCGCACAATCGCCATGCCAACGACAGCAGCGACATTCGACGCAATCTGCGCACGCGCTATCGCGACTCCTACAAGCACAACCGCGATCATGAGTAAGTACAGCCAACTACTTATATGCATATAGCTTCCTGTGTATTGACAAACAGGTCTTGTCCGTCTTTGCTAGTCTAAGTATTTAGGCTGCCAAGTACAAGAAATTAAAAGTTCCCATAGGAACTGCTCCTTAGCTAACTAATTTGCTGGCTACCGAAAGCCTGAGCTAATACATTATGCATTTTCATGCGTATATATATATAAAGGTGATATTCGGGGCAAGTACTTTCTAAGTAATATTGTTAAATTTAAAATTTAACAACGATATTTGGTCAAGTTATGCAACTGCTTTTGTTTTTGTAGATCGAGGAGATGTTGAAAGCGCAACAGTTCAGGCTCCAATAAAAAAATGTCACAAAACGGGGTAATTTTCTATTCGTTCTGAACATTTTTAATTCAAGCAATCCTTGGAGCCCGTTTTGAGCCCATTCCCCTGAAAGGATGCTCACGTTCGAAATTCAGCTTCCAATCTCTTACCGCCAGGGCTGTGCGTTGCTAACGCGTAATAATAATGCAGGCTCCAACAAAAGCTTTAAAAAACGGAGTCTGTTCTATTTTTAAAATTATTTCTTAGATTATAAGACCCTAGTTTGAAGCCGTCTGACAAACTGATTTATAAATAGATAGAGTGCATTATTTCTTTCTGTTCCTTTGCGTAAGCACTTTTCAAATTGCGAATATGAATACTCTCCTTACCCCAAAACTCAATTTTACCCATTTTCTTATAGCTTATGGCTGTTAGAACTTGACAGTAGGTACTTACCTTAAATATCCGCTTAATAATCAGCTGGTATTCGTACGCGCAATTCAGCTAATGCTGCAATAGTTAAAACACAATTTTTATGAATATAAAATAAAATCAAATACGACCGTACGCTCGAATTTAGTTTATTTTCTAAACTAATGAGCAAAACTTTGAATGGAAAAACTATGATAGTACGCTCGAATTTGATGCCAATCGATGACTGGGATTTCTGCCTCATCCACTGCAAGTAAATTTCTAGTTTTCAAGTAAGTCTGAATTGAAAACAAAAAGTGGAGATAAATCCAATATGATCCAGTTTAATGACCAGAAGATCAGGGTATACACGGTATGAAGATTGTAAGCAGAAAATAGACCATAGACAAGTGCTCAAGAGTCGAACTAGCAAGGCCTTGAAGTTATACTGGTTCTAAATTGAAAATGAATATGGCGGTTGGGTCTACCTTTTTCAGTGACACCCCGGAATATTCAGCTATATGCCCAAATACAGCATAAACACCTGATCAAAGGTGTGCATAATGCAGTGGGCTGATGATAGCAAATTAATCAGATAGTCTTACCATTTCCCATCTGTCTTGGTTGCTGCGTTACTTGAGCTGTTATTTCATGGCATATTTGCTACTTTGATTATAAAAGGAAATACCAACAGCTTTGTAAGCGCCTCGAGCGTTCCTTTTTTAACGTTAATCGTCAATTTCGCTTTTGATTTTTATGCGCTACTTCAGTGAAATGGCGGAGCTTTACCCACCTACCTACTCTCTCACTTGCCGCACTCTTTGCACTTTACTGTCAAATATGTTGGCATATGGAAAATAGACGACAAGCGAAAACAAACACCCCCATTGTGCTCTGTATCGCTGTTGCTTTTGTTGCAATAAAAATCCATCATAAAAGGTCCATAAAGAAAATGTAGTCTCCACCTTCTCGTACGCCATGTGTGCCCAAGAATTTTGCGCGCCGTTAATTTTTGTTTTTCTATTTCTTCCTTTTGATTTTGATGAGCTTTGTATACTCGGACAGGTTGCCTGCAACTGTTTGGACAGTGGCAACGTTTCTTCCCTAAGCGTCTGTGGCACGTCCTTAAGTGTCCTTGATGTCTTGTTTGACTGGCCTATCCAACCAAACTGCGCCCACACACAAACACACATAATGCCCGTCGCTATTTGCGGCCTTCGCTCCGTCCTGCTTTTAACTGCACACACGCACATAAAAAAACACTCCAGCACAAACACCGACGCAACACAATATGATTGTCAGTTTTCGATTGAAAAAACAGCAGTCAGGCCCTTTTATGTATGCCACAATAAGCGCACATCAATCACGTGCCGCCTCTGCAAGCTAAAAAGGCATTGCCCAGCAAACCATTTCTATCGCAAAACAGCATTTCATCTAAGTTTTGTTTTTTATATTCCCAGCTGAAATCAATTTTTCTTACATTCTTGGGTAATTCAATTTTCCAATCGTTTCAAAATATGAATAATAATAACAAAACGTTGCGAGAATACAATGCAAGCATGAATGAATTGCTGGATTCGTGCTGGGCCAAACTTTTAAAATCCCTCTCTCCATTTCAAGACAATATGTAGTTTAATTGTAAACATGTATTTTTAATAATTAAATAAACAACACGTGACAAACATCGTTCTTGTGTCTATCCTTTTGTGTGCAATGCACAGTTGAGCCAAAGCAGCATCAACAACAACAGCAACACCTACTGGCCGGACACAGATAGAGATTACATTTATGGCTTCCTATAGAGTTAACTTGTCTCGATCAAACTTGGCATAAAGACAAATAAGCACAAGCAACTTGTAAAGCCGAACTTGGTAATGAAAAATAAATAATATTGGCGAAGTGAGGGTTCCCTTCTTTGGAGAAATTTCTTTGAAAATGATTTTTGTACGAGCAATGATGGCCATTTAAGCAAGTTTTTCTATTTCCAAAGGTAATTAAGTGATTAGTTTTACAAAAATTGATAAAAATCTTTCCATTGCAACAAAAACTAACAAATAAAAGTTATACAGCTTCTCTCAAATTCATTATTTATTGCTATCTTTATACTTGGACTCAAAAGGTACACTATGTTAGTTCGAAAGTTATGGACGACACAAAGTATATATATATTTTAGATCAGTAATATAAGATGAGCTCATATCGAAGAAATGTGTTCAATTAGCTATCTATAGCTTTTAATATCAACGCTGTTATGTGTTAGGAATAGCAAACAAATTTTTGGAAAAATATGCTCGGATCTGATGGAAAAAATCACCCACGATGATCTCATATATGATAAGGGCGGTATTTTTCTGGCACGGCGTGTCTTCAATATTGAAGATAAATACACGAAAGGATCAATATACACTATGCAGACAATATGTTGCCTGTTATATGAACGACAATGATCCAAAGCAGAGTATATGTTTAGTAAAGAGTTGCTTGAAACAAAATTATTTGAATGTTTTGAAGTGGCCATCGATATCACAGGATCTGAAACCTATTTGGCGATGTTAAGCAGCAACATTTTTAGTATGCTCTGCCAAGGGAAAGATGCACGAACGGGTGGAAAGCCTCACAAGAAGCTGTGAGGCTCTTATTAAAAATGTTGATTAATAAACTAAATATTATGATTTTCGTAAGTAATGAGTCAAGAACACTCAGAAACGGACGGTCGACTTATATCAGAGACTTTATTAGAAATAAAAGAAAAGAATTTAAAAAAATATACATAAGCTTAATACTTTTTTGTTTGTTGTACTATTTCTTGAATTAGTTGCATGCCTCGCTGATATTTGCTTAAAAAATTATTTCTAATGCAATGAACATAGGCCGTTCAAAATTGTCCAAATATTGCGTAAAAATGAAGTACGAATTATTTTGATTATATTTATTCCTAACTGAACTGTAAAAGTGTCACAAAATGATTTTTAGCGATACACCGCCTGGTGAATGCTTACTGGGTGTTATCTGTAGGTACGAGTACTCGTATGTGTGAGTGTGTGAATACATATGTGTGTGTGACAGTCATGTACTCACTGGCCAAGAATTTGTTGTAGCCTCCTTGTTATTGCTGTCTGCCATTCGTTGTTCTTATTATGTTTAAGTGTTTCTTCTTGGCCACCACGTTTCTCGCGTCGCTGCCATTGCCGTTGCCGTTACCATTGCTGGGCTTGGAACAGGACTCGGGACCCGGGACTCGAGACTCGTCAAAAAGCCGTTTATTATGATACGCCTCATATTTGTTGTTATCAATTCGCCAGCTCAGGCGCTCGTTGCTCATTGCGAGCACACGAAATTAAATTAAATCCGCAATTTATTATTTTATGCTTTTCCATTTTATTTTATTTCGCTGCCTTTCATTTTATATTTTATTTGTCCGTTGCGATTATTTTTCTTTCTTTTTTGCTGGCTTTGTGTCTGTGGTGCTGAGCGCAAAAATCAACCGAAAATATTCGCGCTTAAGTGAAATGTTTCAAAAATAGATTTCAGCTTTCAATTTATTTGCTTTTCTCCTTTCACATTGTTCGAGTCTATGGCATGGAATGTGGATGTTCGTTGCACACACCAGTATACATATGTGAGCCACAGTTTCTGCTAGTTTAATTAACCGAATTGCAATTGGCTTTTGTTGTGGTCCAAACAGACGCAGACAGTAGTGCTGAAATGTGCTTAGTGGCTCGAAACTTAAGCACTTCTGGGAAAGCCTATTATATACATGAAAGCATGTCTCGACCACAACACTTTTGGCCTGTTCTTGAGAAACTTGATGGAAATGGTCTCTTCGCATTGTCAAGCCGTACAGCTGCTATGGAACTGCTATAAGTTCTGTACAAAATGCACTTTAAATCTGTGTTTTAGTAACTTAGTTTAAATATTTCTTGGATGGGACTGAATAAAAAGTTTTCTTCTTGTTATCCAGATCGATTAAAAAAATTCTTGATTACATTTCGAGTACCCCTCTCTGAATGATATATTTATCTGACGACTTGGAAATTCATCAAATACATTTTCAATAGATGTCTCAAAACGAATGTGATGGATCCACAATTTCTTGGGACTCAGATACAACACTTAACTTCTAATAGTATGACAATAAGAGGGCGACTTTCATAAAATGATGATGTTTAAGCATTAGATGTTTAATAATAAATGCTTGCATTCAAATCACCTGGCATTGATGACCATAAAGTACAAATTTCTCAAATGACCTAAAAAAACAATTTCACCCACCTTCGCCACGTTTCGATTAGCACTCTAAGCATTGAATTGTTAAGTTGCCAAACTTTTATTACTTTCTGATTAAGGCGACAATCACAGCAACGACAACAGTGCCCAACAATAATAATAACAGCAACAACAACAGCCACTGAAGTGTCGCACAAATTATGAATTATGCACTCGAAAAATAACGATAACAAAGCAAGAAAAACTTGCCGCCAAAATAAATAAATAAATAAATTAGCTTAGCCGAAGCAAGAGAAAAGTAAATAAATAAATAAGCTAAGAAGAACAAAGGAGCAGTGGAAAACGAAAAACCAAAGTGGAGAACAAAACAAAAAATATAATAATTCGCCACAATTTAATTTACATAATGACAGTGTCAAGCGACGGCTGAGCCAAGCACGTACGTCGACCAAGGGGGAGGGGGCTATACTGTGGACTGGATAGAGGGTGGAGGATGCAGGGGATATCTGAAGCTAGGCGGTCGAGTGTAGGGTGTTTGAGGTAACGGCTAAAGGAATTAAAAAGCGCACAAAACGAGGGGAGAGCAGTCAACAACGTCATCACCAACGCCATCATTTTCCGCAGCAGCAACTGAATAGCCAACCACTACCACATTCCCCATCCCCATCCCCCCCATCCCCTTCCCCAGCTCTCCCTCCGAAATACACACGCACACCACATACTTGGCCAAAGCAATGCTCGGCCAGGATGCCTGTGCACGAGGCTTGACTCCAGCCGCGCGAGAAATTCACACTTTTTAATACGATAAATTTACAAGGCAACTGGGAAATCTGCAGTCGACAGTCGTAAAGTAGGCAAAGCTCGCTGCATGGGTG